TATAGTGTGCAAACTCTCTCTCTCTCTCTCTCTCTCTCTCTCTCTCTCTCTCTTTCTCCCTCCCTCCCCCCCCAAATCCCAGTCCCCCAAACCAAGCCATGGTCTCTGTGAGAAGACAGGGTCACTGAACCATCACGAAAATATTGCAGGAGCAAACCAACCCCTCCGCCATCCACAACAGACACTCTATGGCTCGATTTCACAGTAAAGTCTTCTTTTTTAATAACACCAAACACACGCCTAAGAAAAGACTAGACTCTTTCCAAACCTGTTTTGTGGGGCAATTCCTGCTGTGTGTGTGTGTGCACGAATGTGTGAAACGAAATTCTGCAGCCTCGTTTTGTATATTACCCCTCTTCAGAATAATAATATTATTGTTCCCTTGCGGTGTGGCATGGTGTCCTGTTTAGAGACAAGTCTAATGTTGGCAACATACGCTCTGGGGCTTTCTTCCGTATTTCTGGCTTGTGCGACAGAAAGCTTTTTCGTTGGAAATCCCAATAAATGTAATATCATGAATAATGGAATATAGTTCAGTTGAGATTATTTGCCAGTGACATTCTTGAGATCTTCCGCTCCCTGTGAATGTGTTGTGAATATTATCCTGAGACATAGTTTGTGCACGCAATACATAGAAATGTGTCAAGCCGTGTCATGTTGGTGATGCTCGTTGGATAGACAAGTAGGCTAAGGAAACGTTATGCTTTAGATGCTTTAGATAAGTGATTCCCAATATGCCCCCCCCCAACCCTTTTTTCTAAATGAAAAAAGAAGAAAAAAAACCATTGAAAAATAAACAGAGGACGATTAGAATCTAGATTCTAGTAGCTTTGGGAGACGGTGGGCTTCATCTTGGTAGTGAAAGGTATTGTAAATGTTTAATGCCCCGTTTGGAAATACATTCTCTAAGGCTAAGATAGTGGTACGAAAATGTGAGTCTCTTAACCGCGGCAAAATTGAGCATTAGGTATAAAATAGTTGTCAGGTACTGTTCTAGATTCTGCTGAAGATATCTGATACTTCTACCTGCTATCTGCACTTTGTGATGCTTGGTGGATACATTAAAAAAATACAATGAAGAAAAAAGCAGCAAGATATTGTGTTGTATTTCTGAGCACCAAAAGGCGCTGGCTTAATGTAAACGCCCTTTTCAACTTCACTCACTCTGTTTCCTTCTTATTTGTTACAAGTGAGACGTCGGGTGGTAGGAGAGTGCTTCTCGCACGGTTTCTTTCTTACTTGTCAACGTGAAGGGAGTGCATTTTCCCCTTTTAACAAGAGAGTTAAAAATGATCATGCACACAAATGTAGTAGCCTAACAATTAGTCCTGAGAGAGGCATGAAGTAAAGAGGTCTCAAACTCGCGGCACGCTTCTCTACCTCCCTCTCCTTCTCTCTCTCTCTCTCTCTCTCTCTCTCTCTCTCTCTCTCTCTCTCTCTCTTTCTCTCTCTCTTTCTCTCTCTCTCACTCTATCTATCTGTCTATCTATCTATCTATCTATCTATCTATCTATCTAATCTATTTCTTTCACACACACTCACACAGACACACACAGACAGACACACACACACTGACAGACACACACACACACACGCACACACACACACACACACACAACAAACACACACACACCTACACACACATGTGTGGGGGTATTTGTCGCCGCTCAGGCCCACCCAGACTCTACCTCCAGCAGCTCCCTGGTAATTTGAGGTCGAGACACCTGCCTTTGGCGCTGTAAGAGCGAAATTCTTGCCATTATTCTAGATGCTTTGAAGCTGTTTGTAGTTTGTCATTTTGTAATGTGTAAAGCAGAGAAAATCCAACAACGAACACATTATTTCGCTTTATCTCATAATGTCTGTCTCGGCACTATACAACTTTAAAGCGTTGAAATTCCATGTGATAAAATTGCGCTCGCTGCAACGCTTTCGAATAATAAAACAGCTCAGGGCGAAAATTGAAAACATTATCGACAAAATGATATTATATAATTGCAAAGCGTTTTGATGAAACCGCGCGATCAGCACAAGTTTCACGAGTCTTAGATGTTCTGACGAGCATCATTAGCTCTGAAATTGTCCTGTTGACATCTTGTGTTGCCCCGCGTAGAACGTTAGTGGCCGATTCCCTGTACTGTCAGGCGGGTGATTTAGAAGTCAGAAATATTCAACAAAATAATAATGATAATAATAATGATGATGATAAAAATAATGATAATGATAATGATAATAGTAATAATGATAATAATAATAATAATAAATGCATTTACATAGGGCATATTTAATTATTATCTGCACTCATCAGCTTGCTCTGTATTCATAACAACTGTATCCCGACTCAACAACATTCTGGGCAAACGATTCGAAAAGCAGGGAGACAATTTTTTTGACATCAGGGAGACAATTTCTTTTGGACATTTGACGCAGGTGATAAGGGGAAGCCATTGGAAGATCCTACTACGCCATTTTTCCTTATAGTGGGGCAGTTTAGCCCAAAAATTTAAAAGGATTGTGCATTTTGTGATACAAGCACCAAATTTGGCAGAGATGTACATTAATATATTGCAAACATTTTTAGATATTGGGCCACTCAGATCTCTCTCGTTATGGCCGCCATATTGGATTTCAAAATGGCCGCCATTTGAAATCTACATTTGCGAGTATCTCTGGGTCAAATGCTGCTATTGACTTCATTTTGGTGTCTAAATGTATGTTTTGAGGGGGCGAGGAATCCATCCTATGATACCAATTTCACAATCCAACGCACAATGTAATGCACAATTCTAATGTACAAATCTAAATCAGAGACACAAATCTAAAATTATAATACACAAATCTATTCCAATGCCCAATTCAATGCACAATCCAATGACACCAATTTCAACGGAATGTTATCTTTCACACTCTGTTTTATAAAATGATCAAGGAAAATAATAGATTGAACACGATACTTTGAAAAGAATGATTATATGAATGCATGTTCATTGTTTGATTGAGCGTGTTTTTTACGGCACTATCGACTCAATTTTGAAAGCATGTTAAATGGGTGTAAAAGTCTTAAGTCTGTAAATGTCGTAGGTACAATTCTGACATGCTTCATGGTCTAGTTTCTGAGGCTAGGTGTATACTGACATTCTTCACTGGTCTGGTATCTGAGGCTAGGTAGATATCGGTACTGAAGATGCATGTACATACACAGTGTGATGTTAACAAGTTCGGCACTGCCAGAAGTGCATGTATGTTGTGAACTCATCGCCCTGTGCAGTCCCCTTCACACACACATAGGGCAGTTTTCTTGCATTTGCAGAGCCTCACACACCATAAAGGGCACTTACAAGAAACCAGCCCAATGCAGATGCAGCTGGTAGCCTGGTCCAGTATGGTGTGTACTGTCCTCCAGTCATTGACCAACCCTAGTTGTTTTGTGGAGGGAGCTCTAGTGCTGGCAAAAGTATCTGAGCCCACACATGTCCACCTCGATACACTCCCCTCTTGAAATGTTCCTCTAAAGCTGCCTACGTTGGAGGGATCAGCTGCGCATCGTTCTTCCTTGCGAAGAGTTTCCTCCTGGCCGGGTCATTGTCCGTGCATTTGCTGGTTCGATCATCCAACAGGATCACGAACCTTTTGATGATGGACATTGCATCATTTGGTATGCCACGTGGTGCAGAGGACACCAGCAGCAGCGCCTCAGTGAGTTCTGGCAGTACCGTCCAGACTGCCCCCGCAATCTTCTTGCCATATGGAATGAAGATCTGAGGAGATTACTTCTCAAATGTCTTTAATTTAATGCAGCCAATCTGGGCGATGGCTACTCCATCAAGAACTATCCAACTAGTGACAGGAGTTTCTGTCTTGGCGTAGAAGATTTCGTCAAAGCCTGTGATGAGATCATTCTTAGTACAAGTGAAGCGGTTTCCACCAGCAGACAGTGCAGGAGGACATGCCTGGTTCTTGTGACGAAAGAACTCCTCAAGGTTTCCACTCCTCATCTGCCAGCCAATGTACAGGCGTGCAACGAGTTCATGGTCATTTTTGACAGAGGCGAACTGTTCCTGACATTTACTCTGCTGAGATCTGGAGCACTCTATCATAAGAGATGCTCAGGCCAAGGTGTGACAGTCTGTCGATCAATTCCTTCTTGCGTGTATGAGCATGCAACGTTATCCCAATGTATGTTGGAAGTGGGGTATCTTGTGCAACACTGTGCCTGACACATGTGGATGATGTGATGCCACGTCTTCGCCTGTGTTTTACGCAGTTGAACTTCAGTATCAGGGCTGCGGTAATTGCTGCAGGGTTAGTGTCTGCCATCTGGTCCTTGATGCTGGGTCTCTCTAGGATCATGCTGACTAAGGCAAGCAGCAACGGTTGCAACAGATTCTTCTTGGCATCCTCCAGGGCACACTGTGAAGGGCTTGGCTTCTCCGAACATGTGACGGCGACAAGATAACGACGAATGTAGATCTAGAAACAGTCATGCAATGTAAAGTAGCCATTTTGAAATCCAATATGGCAACCCATTAGTACAAATACGCAATGTAGATTGTTACCATTGGCTTGCTTGACCCAAAAAACATACATTTAGACACCAAAATGAAGTCAATAGCAGCATTAGACCCAGAGATAATCACAAATGTAGATTTCAAATGACGGCCATTTTGAAATCCAATATGGCGACCCTTTAGTAAAAAATACGCAATGAAAATGCGGCCATTAAGAGAGAAATCCGAGTGGCCCAATATCTGAAAATGATTTCAATATGTCAATGTACATTTGTGCCAAATTTGGTGCTTGTATCACAAAGTGCACAATAGGTTTGCTAAGCGGCCCCACTATTAAACGTTTAGGTCTGTCAGTCTTTCTTTTCCCTAGTACTATCAGTCTTTCTTTTCCTTAGTACTAAATGGTCGAAATTATTCCCTTTACTCATGCGAACGATATTCGACCGTTGTGCCAAGTATCTGTTTGCCATGTCTTGCCTCGACACGGATCACTGAGCATCAAGCGCATGACCTGGTCGCTTTTACACACAGACGTGTCACCCTAGCTTAGAAACACGATAAGGGGCCATTCTATATAAAAGGGAAAGTGCAGTTACATACTAAACTCGGAGGTGGTAGCCTGCTAATAAAATTCTGAACAGTTAAAAATCCGGGGATTTATTTCTAAAAATAAAATAAATGTTTCCGTCAGACAAAAGTTGCCTTTAAAGAAATTAATAAAAATAAAGAAATGCCCTATCACTGTTTAGATGCTGTTTTTATTTAGCATGGCATGATCTGCGTGTTGTTCATATCACTGTAGTTTTACTTTTAATGGAATGGTCCTAAATGCAAGTTTCTTGACAAGTCGTTTCGTGACAAGGTGAACAAGCACCGACAGCTAGAGGGCTGGGCTTTTTAAAGCATGCTTCATCTTCAGGTTTTAACTCTAACAGTTACGTAAAGGGGATGCATATTGGAGAGGCAAGTGGGGAGTTAAAAATTGTCATTTTAATGTAACATGTTTTCCGGCTATCTGTACCTGTGTAAGTTTGCTGGGGACATGCACAGTCGAAGCCTGTTAGGGACATACCTTTGCCATTGACATGATAATCTGTCTCTGCCGATAACAATACGCAAATTTGTAAACTGAGAGAAACTGTGTACATGAAAATGAATACATGTAGTATCTTTCCCAATGGCACTTCACCCTTCGCGACAGAGCTGGTAGTCAAACTTACAAAAGGGGGGGGGGGGGGGGGGGCTCTCGTGGCCAAGAGGTTAAGGCGTTCGCCTCTCATTCAAAGGTCCCGGGTCGGACTCCGGGTAGTGACGGAAACATTTTCTTCTCTAAAATTGTCCCCCTTTCACCTCCTTTCCTGCTCTCCAGCAGTGTTCTTTCGTCTCCACTTTTTCCCCCCGGCCCCGTCACCTCATTTACCCCCTCCTTTGGGCTCCTGATTCTTTCTGCAGCCTTTCTACTGCTACTCCTTGGCTCCTTTTTACAGTTGTCTTTCAGCAACATCCCTGATCTTCTGGTAGGAAAGATCTACTCCTAGCCTTCTCGGACAAGGGCCAAAAATCTCGTAGGTCCCGTGTGCAAGTTGCGCACGTTAAAGATCCCTTGGTGGTCTAAAATCGATAATAGTAGCTTCGGCCGCCACCCGGGCAAAATTCAAAATTTTCTACCAACTGAAAACCTAATTTATTGTGCCTCGCGTGCTCATATGACCTTATGCAGTTGCGAGCGCCGTAAAACACTTACCAAATTGAAACAACAAAAAAAACCTCACACATTCTTTATCGCTAGTCCCACTCCTGTCTGTCTAACCAGGACAATATTTATATTAATGAGTACAGCTGATCGGGTCTTTTGATTTGACCTTTGGTAAATGAAACGAGTGTAAGGAAACATGACGTGTAATTAATTATATTTGCAGAATTGACATGCCATAATTATGCTTCACAGCCTTCAACAAATTACACGCTGGCGATACGGGCAGATATAGGATGATATCTGCACTTTAATTTAATGTACACATTTCCGCATGGTTCATCAGGAAATGCTAGAACGACATTTTAATATGTGGCATCGTGACGAAACCATGTGCTCGTCAAAGAAATGATATTGGAGTAACCGACATTTTCCCCTCATTGTACGATTTTTATCGATGTTCCTTTTGGCTCGACACCTTTCATGTCTACTTTAAAATATATTATTTCTCTGTGGTTTTTCCCGAAAGGCACCCAATTTTTTTTAAATTGTAATTTTGCAGTTTTGCAAGGACACTCGAGCTTTTGGAACGCACCAAAATTTGGCGGATATTTTCTTGCTATTTTAAACTCTGACACCAGACGACATCCACCTCCTCGAATGACAAATATTTAAACTTCTATTCAAGATAGATGAGTATTTATATCATGAAAAGCAAGCCAAATGAACATGCTTTACGGTCATGCCAATACCTCCATTAGCCCAAACATTGACGATTACCTGATTCCACCGTGTCGCGACACAATTAATATTCTCTTAATTTTCTCTTTGGAATGCAAGCCTCATTAGCTTACGACGACAACGTAATTAATATACAAGACCAAGTTCGCTATCACATGCATCGCATCAGCGCTCACGATATCCTTTCAATAACGCTGTTTTGCCTGAGATTGCAGTTTCCCATTATGCCATTATTAATAAGAGAATGCCGAGTCTATTTAAGACAAAAACAACAATATTTCTCGTTATAATTTTCTTGCTTTAAACACGCCCATTAAAATGTTCGTTACACAAGTTCTTTGTGTGGATTTGTCCCCGTGAGCGATTAAATCGTGGTTTAGAAGAGCCCAGTGTTTGACCAAAGCTGAACGATGTGTGGTCATTTGCATCTGGTATTGAACAAATTTGATGGGATAATGAACTTGTAAAAATGTAAAGAAGAAAACCCCAAAGAAAACGGGGGAATCGTGTGTTTGCTTATGATTCTTTTCAGCGGTGCCCTTGACCTTTTGAGAAAGCCTGATTAATATGCTGAGATGTAATTAATTTTGAGATGGGATTAGTGCAATGAGGTGATTGTTTCTGAAACCTGACCCAGAAAGAAGAACTTATTTTTAACTTTTTCTTTCATTATAATTTTACGTTTGAAAAAAGAAAATTAAATTCAGTGTGCAAAATTCAGCAGATTTTATTATCAAAACTCTGGGTGCAAGTGTCGCACTCGTACAACAATTTATTCAAATTAAGTTTTGTGCTCACTCACTCTCCTAAGGCATAAGAGTGTCGTGAAGCCAAGAATGTCTCAAGGTGTTTTCGAGTGTTTATGGTAGTTGTAAAGGGCGGAGCATGCAATAATATGCATTCGCCTTTCTCTGCTCACAGCCCCCTCATATTACAATGGCGCAGCTACGTGATTTGGCTTGTGGCTTACCTTTTAAATTCCCCTGTTAATTCTGCCTATCAGTCTTGGTTTTCTTCCTAAAAAGTTATGAAAGTTGTTGTACCCATCGATTTGCTTTTGTTGTACCCATCGATTTGCTTTTCGTAACTGAAAGTGAATACTCAAACGCTCTGTTTAGGCGAGAGGAACTGAAATGGAACAAATCGAATAACGAACTTTTGTTGAATCCGGCCACCCGTGAATTCTGTGAACAACAAAGGGAAACTACTATCACGGAAACAATTTGAAAATATAAACAAAAGAACAGTTGCACACTGTTTTGAACAATGACGGGCCAATGTTCTGTGCCAGCCGCAAGGACCGTTGTGCTATTTTTGGCCGTGATTTCCATGACGTGGTACACAGCGTGTGATTGCGCACTACGCAACTCCAGCCTGGCGTGCACGCGTGGACAGAGGCAGACTCGGCACCAGATCAAGTGCAGCCGTACTGGCGGCGAGGAGGACTCTGGGATTATCCTCATCAACAGGATCTTTTACGGCACTCCACCCCTCACCAGGTACGTAGGTGGTTGGCGGGTGTTCTGGTGTGGTTTTCTACTTTTTAAAAAAAATCAGACATCTATGGTATTCTCCTTTAAGGAGGTGTCCGTCAACCTGGACGATATTGACCTCTAGAGGGCGATTTGGTAATTATGGTGGGCGGTGAAGATCATACGGGTAATGACAGGTATTATTCAATGCGGTGGCAGTATGGAATTGATAGTCTCTTAAAGTAAGGTGGTAAAAATCTGACAAAATTATTCAAAAAAGTTAACAAACAGTGCTCTAAGGGCTGTTTTTTTTCTCTTCGGGTCACTTTCTGAGACGTTCTCTAAAGGGTTTACGTGACGAAGAGGCAGCATCTCCCTTTTAGCTTCCGATTCCCATGGACTGTGCTAAGTGCTGACTGCTAAAACTCCTCAAACAACCCCATGGTCAAGAATGATGGTATTTTAGGGATTCGAACCTGAGCGTCTTAGATTCCGCTTCCTACAAAGAGAGCCACCCGTGAGCCCATTTTTTGAAGAGACGTGCATTTTGGGTTATTACCTGAGGCTGCAGTATCGACGTCTGAGGTGTAATTAGTCAATTCCTTTTCCTTTGCATGATAAATACGTTAGTTCGATTCCCAGAGCGTGGATTTTTAAATAATGTTTCGTCTCTTTTCTGGGGTGCTACATCCCTTTTACTCTGGGTTTGCACTGCCAGAGAGAGTCGAAGCAGCTCGTCCCCTGAATGATCTAAATTAAATCGATTACGGACAATGTAAGTGTGTCTGTAATACTCGTAAATGTTTTTGCCCCCCCCCCCAAAAACAAAAACAACAACCAACAACAACAACACAGAACAAAAATAAACAAAAACAAAACAAAAACAAACACAAAACAAAACAACAACAAACAAACAAACAAACAACAAAACAAACCAACAACCCAAAGCAAAACCAAACAACCAAAAACAACCCCCCATCAATACAAAGGTGTATGCGAGGTGGACTTCGATCACGTTTTTCAGCGAACTGTGAGGCAGCTTTGTTGCTTTGTATTGTAATGGGGTATGTCAGGATTAAGTTTTTAGCCCTATGGTACACATTTTGTAGGGGTACATGACTATGTCAGTATCTTAAGAAGAGAAGAAATTATTTTTTCTTAAAGTAGGTTGTTTTTATGGCTCCATTCTCACAATTTTGATCATTTAGGAGGTGGGCTTTAACTTAGCTTTTTGAGGTCCAACCCAGGATAAGTTTCATACGTTTAGGCGCTAACCAAAGTATTCTTTAATAATATTTTGGGGGGTATATTTCATATTATGCTTTCGGGACCGCCATCAGTTCATTTAGGACAATAGTGGTCTATGGTACGAATGGCCACAGTTTAAATCCTCATTAGGGAGAAGTTCAACTTACCCCTTCTACGTGGCTATCGAATTTAAACGCCTACAAGCATTGAATTGATTTAGTAGTTACTTGAAAGTGTCACAAGTAAGTCCTATTTATTTTGTTGCTTTCTTTTCTTGTCTCTGTCTATCAGTTTTTGCCTTTTCCCGTTCACTACATGAACGTTACTTTGTCGGTGTGTTTCTCTTTACTCACATAAACTATATCGGGTTGCTCTGTCTGTCACAGTGGCTGCAGCCGGACGGCGCCATATGAACACTGCTGTGTACGTGACGACTCAGAGGTGGACTGCCTCTTCACAGACGACTATGAGCTGCTCAAGTTCTCGAGATTCTGCTCGTCTGCCTCCACATGTACTCCCTCCGGCCGCAGGCTGAACTCAGAGAAAGGATCATGTAACCAGACGATCTACCCCTCTCTGACATCATTCTCGTTTGTGGAGTATGAATGTGTCGACACAACAAAATTCAGAAACTTTTGTTCAGATGTTTCTGTGTTCAGCTCAGGCGGCGAAATATTTTTGGACAGTAATCATGTGATATCCAACGATAAGCTGAGCGACTCTGAATGCAGCTGTATTGTGGTATCGGAGTGCGGAGCGGAGATGACGTTTACGGCGTTGGATGTGTGGCTGAAGAGCGAGAACGGATCGTGTGTTGAAGAGCTTTTCTTTACCGACGCTCACAACAGTAGCGTTAAAGAACAGTATACTTGCCGAGATCCCGATGAGTCCATTCACGACCAAGTGATCTTTACGTCACATTCAAACGCTGTCAATCTCAGAATGAACGTTACCGGAGAGCATATCGGAAACGTGTTTATTAGAGTCACCACCCCTCATCCGGCTTCAGGGATACAGCTTCTGTGTGGCACAGCGAAGTCTTTTTATCAACCTACATCTTCTGGTTGCTCTGACTTCGCGCAGGTCCCTGCAACTATTGCGACCTTCACAGACAACCAGCAGTACACGACCACGCCGGCAGGGGCTGGGGAAACCAGTACAGAATCTCAGGACGGAATGGACGAAGAACCAAACACACTTCCCGTCACAAGCAGCTCAGACGAGCTCCACCCGGGTGCCATTGCCGGCATCACGCTGGCTATCATCGCTATCATCCTCGTTATCGTTCTCATCATCATATTAGTGTTGGGTCGGCGGAAGAGAAATTCGGGCGACGAGCGCGAGATGGAACACCCGGTGTACTTCAATATGGGCCTGGACACGCCCTCCGTCTCCAACTTTGACGACAACTCTGATGCTGACGGCTACGCCACTGTCTCGGAGGTTGTGTCGGAAATGGAAGAGAGTTCTGTGGGGAAGTCGGGGAAGGCAGAGCCGTCTAGCTTTGCCTTTGAGAACCCCAACTGTGTGGAGTATGAGATGTATGGAGCAGTTGGTATAGATGGAGAGGGGGGCAGTAAATACTCAGACAAAAAAACGCCCTAACTACCTTCCTGTCCGCGCCACTGTTATAAAGACGTATTGTTTATAAGATCGAGCTGTGCCACAATAAAAATTTTAAAAATAACGATTAAAAAACGATAACCAATACCACCTGATACTATTCCACCACTGCACACAGCCAGTTTTGTTTTCCAAGTTTTCAGCCCAGCACGACAAACGTACTTATAACTGGGCTTCCTTTTAAGCTATTCGGCTAAAATAAACACCAAACTGAGTAGAAATAATAAATGATATATGCTGTTAATTCCAGTCTGCTTTTAGATATAATGAATTGGCCTGGGTTTCACATCGTGTACTCAGAATTAAGACATGTCCTATACACAACTTGTCTTCTTCCGTGACACAACTGTGGCCTCAGCACAAGTCGCCGTTACCACAAGATCTATTGTACCGAAACGGTTCCCAGCTATGTTTGTCGAACATCATAACTTAAATAAATATAGAACTTGTCTTGATTCGCCTTCAAACGGACTTCTATAAACTTCTCATAACTCATAACTATCCAAAAACGGTTAGTTTGGTAAGAAATTATGCCGAAACACAGCTACGGTGCTTTGAAAACAATCGAGCATATTATATTTTCCAAATAGTGGCTTAAAGCAGTATATTATTATTGTTTATGCAGACAGTTCTTAACTTCTATCTTCGTGTAACACCATCTATTTTATACGTAGCTGTGAGGAGATTGCTTTTGACTTTTGTCTTTTATTTTATTTCTCAAGTGTCTCGTTAACTTCTAGACATTTTAGGGAGGGTGGGGAGAGGCAAATGTATGAAATAAAGAATATCATAGCGTTAAAACAAGAAAAACTATATAATAATTATGTAAATACTGTCAAAATTGTCAAAGACGTCGACTCTTTGTAGTTGAAATAAGTGACTGTCTTGTCTTATACGGGGTGCCCATTGCGGGATAGGGTCGTGTTGGGTCGGTTTGCTAGCCAGGTGGAGGGTGCAAAGCGGCTATCGTGACACAAACAAACGCGTTCATTTTCAGGCGACGAGTTGGGCGATCGGCCCGACCCAACCCTACCCGACCCGACCCGATCCCATCTGCAGTGGGCACGCGGTATTAGATCTAGTCTTTGACAGGAAGACGTCTTGGACAGTGCCAATAGTACATAGAAGAAAATGAAAAGCAAGCGGGGGAGTGGGAAATGCCTTTGTACTGGTAATTGTCTTGAACAGTTGCCCTAAACAGCAGGTTCGACTGCAGTACATTTTTTTTAAAACGTTGAGAACTCTATAGATGAAATGTTGGTATTAAATCATGGACGTATGTATCTGTCTTTATTCATAATGTATTTTAATATGAATCTTGCATTCATATATAAAGTCTGCAAAATTTGTTAGTTCAAAATGTTTAGTTGGCTAAGATGTATAGCCGTCAGATGGAGTCTTCGAAACATTCTAGCATTAGAAACAATTCGCGTGCTTATGTCGTAGTATTTAGCGCTTTGTTTAGAAAAGGGTAGACAGGGGGCGGGGCGGTTGCCAGGTAGACAGACGGTTCATCCTCGACATATTGCCAAGCAAAGTATGCAACACGCATAATAGATAGGTGGTCTACGGGTGTGTGTCATTAATTTAGGCAAAGCAGGATGACACCTGCTCAAAAACAGTGTCCTGCACTTCAGCGACCGACACAGGCGTGTCTATTTCTTCTGTTGGAGATGCTGTTTCGGTTCATTTTTATTTGTTTATTCATTTATGTATTTGGTCGCGTGTCCCTTTTTCGAGTGCCATGTTAATAATCTTATTCATGTTAGACAATCATTGACTTCAAGAATGTGGTCGAGTTGTCACAATGATATTTCAGCACTAAGGTAGACCACTAAAAGAATATGAATAACAGTGATTAAATATATTTGTAAGTGTTGAACTAATTTATTCACAAGTGCTTTTCTAGATTTTGTCTCCTGTGCAAGGCCCCCCTCCTCTGCCCCTGACTGTCCATTGGGAGAGGGAGGGGGGGCCTCTAGGCCCTTTCCCAATCTCCTTGCGTAGAGAAAGAGAGACCAGATATTGAAACTATTAATTGTATGACACCGACCCTACTGATAATAATAATAATAGATAATAGATAGCATTTGTATAGCGCAAATACCCGCTCAACAGCAATCTCTATGCACTTCACAATCTATACTATTACCCCAGCAGACCTGAGAGCATTCTGAAACAATCTAATTTCCCAGGAAGCATGCCGTGCTAGCGGCCATTTATAGGCGCTAAAACACTAACTTACTGACAAGATCTTTTGCTGTTTATGGCCGGGTAATAAAGGTAAGCCCAGATTATTACAGGGGGGGGGGGGGGGTTCTAATTGATGAATTTGTTGAACTATGTCAAGTATCCTATGCTGGCGAGAGAGCAGACAACAGTCATGTGCCTAGTACGAGGATTGGACACCCCAATGATATTGTATTGTTTGTAACTGGTAGGCTTCACATTAGAAAGAAAATCTCTTGACGGAGATGAAAAGAAATGTAGTGGGTGGCTTAAGGGCACCACTGGTAAACAATTTTAAAGAAATCGAAATGTCATATAAAAGAATATAATTTTCAAAGTAATAATGTCCTATATCTTATTTTGTTGTTGTTGTTGTTGTTGTTGTTGTTGTTGTTGTTGTTGTTGTTGTTGCTGTTGTTGTTTTCGTGTAGAAAATGTTGCTTGTCATTTGACAAGTTTTTATCTTGTTCAGGGAAATAAGACCTGATCTAATTAGTCGCTGTTTAGAAATTATGCTTAGTCTCTTTTATTTAGTTATCCTGTTTGTGGTTGATGAATCTTGTATTGTTTTCATTTTACCATAGTGCCTACTATTTTTATTTGGTTTTTTCTGTATTTGGGGGAAGTTGTTTTTTTTCAGGGAGGCTTTGCTTTCGTTGTTATTGTTTTCTCTTTGATGAAAAAATAAGAGGGGTGGGGGGAGGTGGTGAAAGAGGTGATTTTTTTGGTGGTGTATTTAACTCTATTTTGGCGAGGTTTGAGCTGGTGGGTGGAGGGGAGAGGAGTGGTTTGGGGGGGGGGGGGGCTTACAGAAACTAACTTTGCTGATAATATTATACCGGGACAACTCAGTGAGAACCTTTTTTTTTATCAAAAAGGAGTAAAAATGTTCTTTAAAAGTGTTTTTTATACTCATGTATGTTTGTACATATGTCTATATTTTGTTGCTAATAAACAGTACAATATGTGAACAATAAAAATGTATCGCCAATTGATGCTGTGATTGCAAAGAACAGTTTTGTTACATAACTATTCGCCACATATCTGTGTCCCGCTTTCTTTGCTTTTACAACCCATAAAAATGGTGGAATCAGGCGCTCGACAATTTTTGGTCATGTGGATATATTGGTATCATCTGAAAGCGTGTTTATTCTCCTTGCTTTTAATGAAATAAATACCCATCTTTCATGAATAAAACTCTAGATGTTTACGATTGAAAGAGGTGGGGATCGCCTGTTTTAAGAGATAAACTTAGCAAGAAAATGGCCGCCAAAGTTTGGTAACTTCCAAAGCGTAAGTGTCCTTGGATTGAAAACTGCAAATTTGCATTGTTTGTTGATTACATTATTTTGACAAGCGCCTGATTTCTCCACGCTGCCTCATACATATTAGAGATAATCCTGGCCACGCTTGGTCAATAAAAAAAAAAAATTGCCTCCCACCTTCTTTAAGCTTTCCTGGATGTACAAGCGGACCATGTGATTATTTAGAAGAACATATCTGAGTGGAAAGTTTCTCTCTACCATTTACCTTAACGTCAGGTCAAATTGTAGATCCAAACTTTTTGCTGAACATCTTCAAGCCATATAGAGGCTCTCCCTTGATTCCTACTTAAATCTAAATGTAACTGAATTAAGTAAGAGCTGCGAGGTCTCAAGGTAAGAAAACCCAATATTCTGAAGAACCGTTCAAATTCAAAACTGCTGTTAATAAAAAAATTGAGAAGATTGATTCAGATGTGTGTAATAAAAGATATACTTTAAACCTTTGTTGGTGGAATTCCTGATACGGCCCAGGCTCACTAATAGTGTACCATGAGCTAACCCAGGTAATTTGAGTTTGAGACCTCTTGTCTATGTACTTACGTGAAACCAAACTGAAATTATGCACTGCATCCATAGATGAAATACGTAAGTATACTCAATATGTGTCTACGTCTGTAACTCTGCATGTAGGCCTTCAGTAAATACGAGAGAGCAACAAAAAACCAACTTTGGCGCTCATTTTAACAATGAAATTCATTTAAGGCACAGGAATTCCGATTAAAACTTCTATCACACATAGGATCAAGCAAGATTGATGGAGTGCATTGAAAACTACCAGAAGCAATCCAAGGGTACAGAGGGCTTTTTGTGGGACTTGAACTTCGGTCGTTCGCACAGTTGTCAAGGTCAATACCTTCTAAAGCATCGATGCTCCTGTGAAGGAATCTAAATCCTGGATGGTTCCTTCAACAGATTAGGAGAAAAAAGTGTGTGGGTGGGTGAAAAAGGGGGTGGGAGAGGCGGGTTCTATGGGCTTGAAAAGGGGAAACATAGGGGGATGGGTGGAAAGGGGGGGGGGGCAGGATTCAAGGAAGTAATAACTGTGTCGTGGAGTCCTTCTTACAACGCCATGACACCAATATATCGAGCATGATGGCCTTGTGTTTTGACAGGCGATCTTAAAGCAGTATGCATAATACAGCTTTGCCTTAACGGATGACAAAGAGGACTTAGACTGGCCAAGCTCCCCCCCCCCCTTTTTCCCTTTGGATTTTTTACGTTCGTGAAATGCGCTCCAAGAGAGTTCTGCTATGCCAGAGACATAACAAGCAGAGAAAAAAAGTAAAGAAAGCCCACTCATTTTGAAGTGATCTCCTATTATTACTTACCACTACTGTTTACAGGTGTGTCAGTATGATTATATGTGTTGTGTGTGTGTGTGTGTGTTTGTGTTTGTGTGTGTATGTGTGTGTGTGTGGGGGGGTGTGTATGTGAGAGAGTGATTGCTTGTGTCTGCATGTGTTATTGTGTGTGTTATTGCGTGTGTGTGTGTGTGTGTGTGTGTGTGTGTGCGCATGTCTGTGTGTTTGTATGTATGTATGTGCCCACGTGTGTGCGTATGTGTGTGTGTGTGTGTATATATATATATATATGCCATTGTAAATCCCTCACTTAAAAAACAAGGTCTTGATGAAAATGACAGGAGACATTTTAGGCCAGTTTCTAATCTTAACTTTTTATTTAAAAATCCTGGAGAAAATCGTTTTGTGTCAAGCTCAACAACATTTAAAGGCCAAAGACGTGGAAGAACCTTTTCAATCTGCTTATAAAAAGGCACCACAGTACGGAAACCGCTCTTTTAAAGGTATCATCAGATGTTTTAAATGAAATCAATAATTAAAAAGTTTGTGTTTTGGTTCTACTTGATTTGTCAGCGACGTTCGACATCATCGACCGCGAAATTTTACTAGAGAGATTGGAAAATCATTTTTACTATGAGGTACTCTTCTAATGTGGTTTAAATCATTTCTAGAAAATAGATTTATGTCAGTGAAAATTGGCAATGATGTGTCAGATAGATTACCTCTAAAGTATGGAGTTCCTCAGGGTTTGGTCCTTGGTCCTGTCATCTTTACAATGTATACGCAAAGTCTGTCATCAATAATTTCTTTGTATGCCCTCAATTACCATCTTAATGCGGACGATACACAGCTGTATGGATTCACTACAACTGACAATGTATACAATCTCATAGATAGAATCGCCAGATGTATCAGTGATGTAAGAAAATGGATCCTTAAGAACAAAGTAAAATTAAATGAGGATAAGACCAAAATATTATTTCTTCGTAGCAACGCTTGCAATGGAATCGACAATATCAGAATAAACATCAAAGGCCACGAAATATCAGCCCAAACTAAAATATAAAAAAATAGGTGTAGTACTAGATCAAGATAGGTCATTGAAATTCCATGTATCGAATCTTTGTGAAAAATCTATATCTCCCACTGAAGAAAATAGGGAGCATTAGAAAATATATATCTGTTGGTGTCACCAAAAACTTTAATAACATCACTTATATTGTCAAGGATTGATCATTGCAATTCATTACTGGCTGGTTTACCTGATGAACAGTTACAACAACTACAAAGAGTACAAAATATTGCTACCAAAATACTTTCTAAGAAACTAAAGTATGATCATGTGACTCCTATTTTAAAAGAACTACACTGGCTCGCGGTGAAAGAGCGTATCATATATACAATCTGTTTAACTTGTTACAAGTGCTTACATGAGTTATCACCTGACTGTCTAAAACAGTTTTTAACATCCTATGTACCTCCTAGAACGCTCAGATCGTCAAGTGACAAAGCAACCCTTGTTAAACGTAAAATAAATTACAAATCATATGGCCACCGCTCTTTTTCATATTTTGCCCTACTTATTTGGAATAGGCTTCCCGGAATTCAAAAACTATCAGAGAAGCAGAAAATCTAGAACATTTTAAGCAGAAACTAAAAGCATTTCTATTTTCATCATATTTCGATTAAACAGAATCCACCCAAGCTGTAGATCGTTGTGAGTTTGTATGTGCGTATGTGCGTATATGTGTATGTTTGTGTGTATGTGTGTGTGGTTCGAGCGTGTGTGAATATGTGTGTGCACGCGTATGTAACACTATGTGCCTTTAACATTGATTTGTAAATCCATAATATGTATCATGTTAAGCGCATAGAGCATTGCATAAGTGGATATGCGCTATATAAATGCTATCCTTTATTATTATTGTTATATATGTATATGTATGTGTGTGTCTGTGTGTGAGTGTGTGTGTGTATCTGTGTGTGTGTGTGTGTGTGTGTGTGTGTGTGTGTGTGTGTGTGTGTGTTTGTGTGTGTGTTTATATGTGTATGTGCAAATTGTTTAGAAATTTTACGGCGCTTGTAACTGCATAAGGTCATATTCATATGAGCCCGCGTGTGTTCGTGTGTGTGTGTGTGTGTGTGTGTGTGTGTGTGTGTGTGTGTGTGTGTGTGTGTGTGTGTGTGTGTGTGTACTGAGAGTGTGTGTTTGTGTGCTCATGTGTGTATATGTGCGTGTGTTTATATAGTGTATTCGTGTGTGTGTTTGTGTGTGCGTGTGTGTGTGTGCGTGTGTGTGTGTATGTGTATGTGTATGTGTGTGTGTGACAGACAGAGAGAGAGAGAGAGAGAGAGAGAGAGAGAGAGAGGGAGTGATGTGATTGTATATGAATGTGTGAAGTGTGTTTGTGTTGGAGAGGGAAGAGAGATAGAAAGACATACATGCACTCAGAGAGACAGACAGACAGACAGACAGACAGACAGACAGACAGACAGACAGACAAACGGACAAATCCTGATAGTAGCAACTAGGATTCAAGTCCAAAGTAGTTATTTCGGTTTTTAAAGTATGAAAATGTACCTCCCCGTCCTAATGTGACTATAATGGCATGCCGTCTGTCCTGTACTTAAATACGCTGTTGTTACTGTGCGTTTGCGTATGTGTGTGTGTATATGTGTGTACATATGTGCAAGTGTATGTACGTGTGTGTGTGCATGCGTGTGTGTCGCAGAGAGAGAGAGAGAGAGAGAGAGGGGGGGGAGAGAGAGAGAGGATGATAGAGAGAAGAAACAGAGAGAATGTGCCTGTATCTGTGTTACAAAGTTAGATAGAGAGACAAACATACAAACAAATGAACAAATTGACAGTCAGATAGATAGGTAAAGTCACAGTTCTAGTTAGAAATCAATTATTTCATAGTAGATTTTTTTACTGTTAGTTTTCTTGTAATGGCATTTTTATAAAAGCTTTTAACCATTTCCCCCTAATGCCACGACAATAGCATACCATTAGTCCATTACTTAAAGATGCTGTTGTTGCTTGAAACTGTGTTTTATGATTTTGTGTTCGTTTTCTCTTTCCATTAGCAAACAAGAAGTCAAAAAAAAATTAACAGATTTTTAATCTCAGACGGTGTCTGTAACAAAGAAGCACACTATTTCTTTTTGAATGTTATTTTTTTTTTTTACGCCCCACCGAAACAGTTTAGATCATTTAAGAGATGGGCTTTGACCTGTCTGAGCTGTGAGGAATACAATATCCCAACAGAAAGACCTAGATATTTGACAGAAAAGCTCTCCTCTGGGTAATGAAAGTCGAGTCTCCCCCATTCGACAGCAAAATGAATAATTGCTGCTACACCTCAGAAGATGGTTGTTAACTCCTGGGAAAGTTGTTTCTCCATTTGCATGAAAAAAATCCTGGTGTGTCCGTCGGTTAATGTCGATTATTTAATGGACTCTTCGTGCCAACTAAGTACTTGTCCTGTTCTCAATACGTAACATTTCTCCTGGACATCGTTTGGGACTTAGTAATCTTAGATAATAATTAGACATCGAAAGAAAACTGTGCAGCGACGAGGTGGAATCGGGCGCTCGGCAATGTTTTGAGTATATAGAGTTCACGGAGTATCAACTTAATACATGTTCATTTGTCTTGCTTCTGATGGAAAAATAGGCATCTATCTTGAATAGAAGTCGAGATATTTGAGAGTAAAATAGGTGGGGGTTGTCTATAGTTTCAGGGTTTGATGACTTCCTAAGCTTAGGTGTACTTGGAAACGGCAAATTTACTTTTTTGTGCCTTTTTTATTTTTTCTTTCGGTAAAATCAAAACTAAAATGTGTTTCTAGTTGGAGATAAAATGTGCTGAGTCAAAAGAAAAAAATATCGATAAAAATTCCCAAACAGCTGAAAGGTATTGGTTTCTTTCATTTCATTATTTTGACGAGCGCCTGATTTCACCAGGATGCTCTGCATATGTGAACTTTTAGTCCTGGTCATTTGGCTCCCAACAACACTTTCAGCGATATTTATAGCCTAAATTATAGTATCCCTGCCCCACATGTGGACAACCACTGTTTGAAGTGCAATGGTTGTAGTTCGTTGCCGTTGCACACAGAAGACAAGAGGTCGGTTCTCGTGAGCTATTACTATTACTATTACGTCCGTCTGTCTGCTGGGATGCTGTATTCCATTCAAGTCGGGTCGAAACAGCCAGCCTTATACACGATCTGAATTATGTCGAAGGGGTAGCAAAAGACTGACAATTATATGCAAATTATGAGAGACAATTAGATAATGTGGCGCGTCATCACCGAGAAGGGACTTTTAGGATGCACCATACATTGTGCAAGTAAGAAAGCAATGATTAACGCACGAAAAAAAAATCGATACTTCTTTATATCAAAGATAGTAAATAACAAGATGGGCCACTCAGCCAAAAAAGTGTCCGCAGGAAGTATGCTCTTTGCTTCAGATGGCGCTGCAGTCTGTTTTGAAGCTCTCTTTCGTTTTTCCAGAAAAAGAATAGGAATAGCACCTCCTTGCGTGCGCAGATCGACTGCTGTTCATCAGCAGTTCGGCTTCGTTCAGTACGGAGTTTTAGCTTTTAAAAATTTTAATGACCTCTCGCCTTTCATTCTAAAGTCAAATTAAACGAAGAAAACAATCACCCTTTCCTCTGGAAGAGGTTTTTTGTCAGCGTAACCATTTTAAAAAAGCGTTCTTCCGAAATTCATTCAAAAACTTGCTAGTTTCACTTTGATTTTTTCAACTCAAGTAGGATAACTCTGTTCGCAAAAGGTGCTCTTTTTTTAAGAGGGCGCCACCGAATTTTGAGGACACTTTTTTAATTGGCTCAAAGAGAGAAGTGGCCCATCTTGTTATGTACTATCTTTGTTTATATTCGTGCTCATAGTATACTTCGTGTACAAGAATATTAACTAAGCAACTTAATGGCACACCTCATCGCCATTGCAATTGGAAGACGTACATATGATTGGGGCATGAGGAAGTTATTTCATTTACATATGTAAAATTAAGAAAATAAATCTTACATGTGTAAAAATAAGAAAATATACCTTCTCTATAAATTCCTTGCCTTTGGGGCCTTCATTTTAAAATGGTGTACATGAATGCAGACCCAAGAACACACACACCCACCCACCCATTCACACTCACACTCACACACACACACGCACACACACACACACACACACACACACACACACACACACACATACACACACACACTCACACACACACACACTCACACACACACACAGACACACACACACACACACACACACACACACACATACACTAACACCATATTTATACAACACTTTTTGTTTCCCTTAGGCGATTTGTGGAGCCGTGAACACCAAATTGATCTCTGAGGAGAATTCGTCTTCAGCAATGTTTCCTTTAGGACTGTGTGAGGAGAATACTCGCTTTGTAAACAAAAAAAACTGCTTCTTTTTATCTACAAGAACTTATCAGTATATATAAGCCAGGGAGAAACTTGTGACACCCGTAAAATCATAGGAATCGTATGGAGAGAGATCTTTCTCATATCTTGGTCCATTTATATGGAACAAATTACCCATAGAACTTAGGCAAACAACACTTGATTGCTTCAAATGACATCTTAAACATTTTCTGTTCTAACAGGCCTACCCTTCATAATCTTTTAGCGTTATTTTCATTATAGATATTCTGTGCCTACGTCTGAATGAAAATAGTCCGTGAGTATGTGTGTGTGTGTGTGTGTGTGTGTGTGTGTGTGTGTGTGTGTGTGTACATAAATATATATTGCATGAGAGGCATAGGTTTTGCAAATGGGTATTCCATTGTAAAGCGCATTGAGCTACTTTGTTTGGAAATGTGCTATATAAATGTTATATATTTATTTACTTCTAGAAAACTGTTCAACATAACCCTCATGACTTCTTATTTCTTCTTCACGTTCTCCAAACATTAGCCTGAACAGAAGTAAACATTAGTTAGTTAGTTAGTTAGTTAGTTAGTTAGTTAGTTAGTTAGTTAGTTAGTTAATTCGTTAGTTAGTTAGTTAGTTAGTTAGTTAGTTAGTTAGTTAGTTAGTTAGTTAGGCAATTTGTTAGTTAGCTAGCTTGTTTGTTTGTTTGTTTGTCTGTTTGAAGTGTTTTAATATGCTGTCTTTTTCTGGGGGGGGGGGGGGTTCTGTTTTTTTGTATATTGTTTTTTTTTTCTTGGTTAGGCTCACCTCTCGTTCATAAGAACTGAAATTATTCCAATCCCTGTAATGGGTACAGATTTGTTCAGAGAACATAGCTGGCAGGCATGGTCCTGTCTCATCCTTCAATGACAGCGAGGCTGGTCATTAAGGTGTTAAAACTACAGGTCCCACTGGGCTGATCGGAAGTAGCCAGAGGCACAAGAACCGGCCGAGATTTCTGCCGTATTTGAAGCAAAGGTTACAACGACATTATTAAGATTAACCCCTTCTCTACCATCTAACCATTCCCAGATCTGTAGGGAGTCACTGTGTAGGGTTATAGATAAATCCTGGTGGAGCTAGAGAAAGGCTTTTGGGTTGTTTTTTTTTTTTGTTTTGTATTGTTTTTTTCAAGGACGAGAAGCATCCACTAGAGATAGAGATAATTACAGAGGTCGGTTAAAGCACCATCACCTCAATGCGGTAGAGAAAAGAGTTAACGGGTCTCCTTTTGTTACACAAAAGAGGTCACCCTTGATCGACAGCTCTTCAGGAAAGAAAGAAGAAGACATAGAACGTATAGAGAAGAAAAGACGCCAATACAATTCAAGGGAGGTAGGAGCTCTCGAGGGAGATGCGTCTTCTGACATTGGGACTTCAGGCTATTCTAAAGATGATAATAATAATCATAATCATAGTCATGATTATTATAATAATAATAATAATAATAATAATAATAATAATAATAATAATAATAATAATAATAATAATAATAATAATATTAGATAGATAGATAGATAGATAGATAGATAGATAGATAAATAGATAAATAGATAGATAGATAGATAGATAGATAGCATTTGTATACAGCACACCCCCACTCAACAGCAAGCTCTGTGCGTTGTACACTATATTATTACCACAGCAGACCCTATAAAACTCAGAAACATTCTTGGCTTCCAGGAAAGCCTTCAGTGTATCATCATCAATAATTCATTTATAGGGGCACCCGCCATCCATGTCCAGTTGCTGTTTTAGCCAGCATACAGTGTAATCAGACGATTAAGCGCTCAAACACTAACAAACTGACAAGATTTTTCGCTGTCTATAGCTAGGTACGCATTCTCACCTGATTGGAGTGAGGAAAATTCGTGTAAAGTGCCTTTCCCTAGAACACAGCGTCGGGCCCCTGACAGGATTCGAACCCACGACCTTATGATTGTGAGTCCGAGAGCGTAACCACTAGGCCACTGACGCCACATATTTGAAAAATAAATCTTTAATAAAGATAATTATTGAACGAAGTTCGAGTTTCCGCGTGAAAAAAACCCCAGCGTCACAAGCGGAAGACTTCAGTTCGATTCCTGTGGGGGGAATGTTTATCAAGTATCTCCGCCTTTCTGCTGGGAAAATTTAAGCATTTCACGTCTGGTTAACCCAGACAGGAAGAGGGTTTTTTGCTTTGCTTTGTTTTGTACGTGTTTTACGGCGCTAGCATCTTCATAACGTCATATGATCGCGCGGGACACATTAAACATTTTCAGTCTGGTAGGAAATTTTGAATTTTGACTGACTGAAAGACAGCATTAAGAAGCAGCCAAGGAGTAGCTTAGAAAGGCCACAGGAGGGGGCAAAGGAGGAGACGAAAGCAGATGACAGAACATTGCTAGAGAGCAGGAAATGAGGTGAAAGGAGACAATTAATTTAGAAAAAAAGATTTCCTTTGCTGTCCTGATTCGAACCCGGGACCTATTCAATGCGAGGCGAACACCGCAACCTCTCAACCACGAGAGCTCCCGACTGGCGGAATCGAAACAACCTGCCTCCAACAGGAATAAACCAGAGCCTGCTATCGTGAGCGACATCATCCACTAGTGGGCGATTTTATCATTTTGACTTGCGGTCAGCATCACCTGGGTACTTTTTGTTTTTTTAAACCCTATCCATACGCCCTGTGGTCATTTTGTACCCCCGGGGTTGTATTCTTCGCATTTTACAATACTTCTAGTACGAAGATCTCTTTGAAACGTTGAGTATTTCTCTAAAAATAACATTTTGACAAACTGCTATGCAAAGCGTACTAATCAGATTAACGAGTAAATGTCCTCTTTGGAAAGTGGTGGCACAGAGTTCCCCACGTCGAATGGATATGATAGTAAACTGCGACGTACGGATAGGGTTAATGAATCGTCTGGAAAGACACGAAGGTGGGTAGTACGAAATATTATATCAGCCACTGAAAGGTGTCAAAAGTGGGCGCTACCTATCAAAAGATTGACAGCAAATACTGATCGAAACTGTGTAGGCGGTGGCGTACAACTTTTTACTTTAACAAGTACGTATTATTATTCCCTGCTCCCCAGACCGCCCAGGACTCGCTGGCAAGAGACGTGGTGGAGGGGTTAGAGCACGAGGTAGAGATCCTGACAGAAGCGCTGGTCGAGTCTACGTGCGTTATGATCGTCGCCCTAGTGCTCTTCCCTATCGTCATCATCGCCGTGCACAGACTCACTCACAGGATACAGGCCTACGCACAAACACTGCAGGTATGCTGCCATCATTTTGTGTTGTGAATAAGCTCTGTGTGTCATTTTGTCTGACTGTACGTATGTATCTTTGTCTGTCTGTCTGTCTGTCTGTCTGTCTGTCTGTCTGTCTGTCTGTCTGTCTGTCTGTCTGTCTGTCTGTCTGTCTGAATGTATGTCTGAATGTATGTCTGTTGCTGTGTTTACTCGCTTGTCTGTCTGTACGGATGTATGTCTGCCCCCTCCTCTCTCTCTCTCTCTCTCTCTCTCTCTCTCTCTCTCTCTCTCTCTCTCTCTCTCTCTCTCTCTCTCTCTCTTTCTTTGTATTTCTGTTTGTCAACCTGTCTTTATGCTGTACCTGTCTGTCTTCCTAGGCGTCTGTCTGTCTGTCTGTCTGTCTGTCTGTCTGTCTGTCTGTCTGTGTGTCTGTATGTATGTCTGTCTGTCTGTCTCTCTCACCTTCTCTCTCTCTCTCTCTCTCTCTCTCTCTCTCTCTTTCTCTCCTCTCTATTTCTCTCTCTCTCTCTCTCTCTCTCTCTCTCTCTCTCTCTCTCTCTCTCTCTCTCTCTCGTTCTCTCTTCTTTTTCTACGGATAAGCAATACAGTCGTTTTCTATGGCTTGGTAAGGTTTGAGTATTTTTAGAAATCACGTAAGAGCACTTTCTAATAATAGAACTGTGTTCTGTAGCGGAAATAGGTGAGGAGGCAAAAGATATATAGTGGGTCTGTCTGTCTGTTTGTCTGTCTGTTTATTTGTATGTCTGTTGTTTGTCTGTCTGTCTATCTATCTATCTATCTATCTATCTATCTATCTATCTATCTATCTATCTATCTATCTATCTATCTACAGGTAAGTAGGGATGAATGTATAAAAAGGAAAGTTTAAAAGGTTTTCTCTTGAAGTGCCTTTAGAAAAGAGCTTAAGTAGTCCGCCCTATCTCTTCAACACAAACAAACAAAAAAGCTCCTTTCGTATCACTGAACGTTAGGTAAACATTAAATGCGAGGTGAAGTGTCCAGTTTTAACTACGTGAAAAAACAACTATATTCGAGTCGAAAGAACCATGGTAACCATGGTAACAGTGTTAAGTGGGTGACATGTTGACTCGGAAAGTATAATAGTTAATAGATATCCTGCTGAACCCTTTTAACACACCTCCGAGCTCATGATCTCTCTCTCTCTCTCTCTCTCTCTCTCTTTCTTTCTCTATCTCTCTCTCTACCATATGTTAAAATATGTGGATGTATGGGCCAAAGGCCTTTCAAATCAATAAATCATTTTGAATCTTTGAATATCTCTCTCTCTCTCTCTCTCTCTCTCTCTCTCTCTCTCTCTCTCTCTCTTTCTCTCTCTCTCTAATTTCTTCTCGTTCTCTCTATCTATCTTTCTCCCCCCTCCCTCTCTCTATCTGCCTCTCTGCCTCTCTGTCTCATTCTTTCTCTCTCTCTCTCTCATTCTTTCTCCTCTCTCTCTCTCATTCTTTCTCGTTCTCTCTCTCTTTCTTCCCCCTCTCTCTCTCTTCCTCTCTGTCTTTGTCTCTGTCTCTGTCTCTGTCGGTTACCTTTCCTTCGTATCTGTCCGTCACACACAGACACACACACACACACACACACACACACACACACACACACACACACACACACACATACACACACACATATACACATAAACACACACAAAGACATAGACACACAAACACACATGCACACATACACACGTAGACACACACACACACGTACACACACATGTACACACATTCTCACGGGTACACAAAACAAACAATAAGTAACAGATCAAACCTAAACTTACTAAAAAGATACATAATACAGCTTGACTATCATAATTTCTAGAGTAATAGTCACCTATTAATCAGACATCAGCTCTGATCTAATTGATCCCTAACATGTTGGAACCTAGCTCCTGATAGACCTTAATAATCACTACATATTATATAGTGAAAATTCGTCACTTTGGCAGCCTAAATCTTCGAACGACTTAACTTCCGAATTTACAAAATTAATGGTGCTTCAGAATAATTTAAAGAGTGCACATTTTTATTTGAGGAGCATGAAGTCACTGTAGTTTAATTTTCAGTTTTTTTTCATTGGTTTTGTTTAGATCTAATCTTGGGAAAGTCTGTCTCCTAAGATGCCATTGTAAATAAGTGACGTTTCCGTTCACTAGCGGTACACACTTTTCCCACATCTGACCATCAGTAATTTATGTGTAGATGCACCAGCCATCCATGTCCACTCATTTTAAATTCTGGAGTGGAAAACCACGAAAGCGGAATACAGAATCAATCTATACATCTCTTACCTTCTAATATTTTACCTCTCTCAAGACTTATTGCTCCATTCCAGTAGAGTGTACAAATAGTAGGCCAATGCTTTTCAGTTGATGTTAATGCACCGATCATTCCTTTCATCAAAAGGGAGTCCAGCTAGTAATAATAATAACAACAACAATAATAATAATAGTAATAATAATAATAATAATATTAATGATAATAATAATAAAGAGAAGAAGAAGAAGAAGAAGAAGAAGAAGAAGAAGAAGAAGAAGAAGAAGAAGAAGAAGAAGAAGAAGAAGAAGAAGAAGAAGAAGAAGAAGAAGACATTTCATGAGTTTCAAATGCTGAAGCCGAGAGAGAAGCCCTACTACTACTACTACTACTACCAAAATCCATGTTTTACGAACTGTGCAAAATCTACTCAGCATTGTCGAAATTGCGGACTGCATATAATATTATTCTCCTTATTACAACATATACAATATATAGATCTATGTAATAATTATCCCGCTCTCTGTCTCTTTTTCAAGTCCACTCTTCCCAATCTCCTCGGTTCCTCTATCTTCTTTCTTCTCTTTGTTTTAGTCTTCTTTCTCAATACCAAGATAAAAATTACCCCATCCCGGCGTGGAATCGATCCCCAGTCTCCCGCGTGACAGGCGGGTATACTTAACACGATAACCCCCTGTGACACATTCCCTTTATTGCAAAGTTATTTTTATAGTGCTGTCGAAAAGTCGTGGCGCAACTTGTGAAATATTTCCCAAACTATTCACCACAGACTCTCCAGCTTTTGCACAATGACATTTATCAATTTTTCTTAGCAGATCAACATTTTTGTAAACACTGTTAGCTGTATTCTAGAAAATTCCTTAATAATAAATACTAAGTTTAAAAAAAAAATCCAAGTGGGTGTTTTCTAAAGATGTAAAAAGGTTTACAGTTGGGGCAATATCTCTTTAAAATGCGAGTCCGTCATGTTTTTGTAGTCGTAACAGTATGCTTTTTGAACGCTTGTTTTGTGAACGTTTGGTTCACTATAAACTTAATTTCTTGTCACAAGTTTTGCCTCTAAAAAGTGTCGTTGATTAGCAATGACGTAGACCATATCATGCGTATGCAAAATGTGTGTGAGAAGCGGGAAGTACCATGAACAATCCCATTTCCCGCGTGACGTAGATTTATAGTATTTTATATCAGTTTAGGAAAAAAAGATTTCAAATTTAGCCTCCCGCAATTGTTGTGGGAAAATATGATTAAGTTAAGACAAATAGATACAGAGTGCTGTGCAAAGTATGTGTGACATTAATTCGCCTAACAAAAGGTGGTTCGAGCCGCGGACCCGACGTTGTGTGCTTGGAAAGGCTGCTACTTTACACGAATGTACCTCACTTCACCCAGGTGGGAATGGGTACCCAGCCATAGACAGCGAAAGATCATGTCAGCATGTTAGTGTTTTAGCGCATATAAATGGCCGCTTGCGATATATGCTTCCCAAGAAGTAGAGAATGTTTTAGAATGCTCTCATGTCTGCTGCTGGGGTAATAGAATAGCTTGTGAAGCGCATAGAGCTTGCTGTTGAGCGGGGATTTGCGCTATACACATGCTATCTATTATTATTTGTTGAAAAGCTGCCCTGGGAATTTTTTACTGAAACATAGTATGATTAAAGTAGTATTATTTATTATGCAACGAAATGGATTATTAAGCTCGCGCCTCAGTTTGTTCACGCCATGGACAAGTTCAACAGTCGTGATGCGAGATGGGGAGAGAAGAAACTATTCCGTTCCTTTGCGTGTCATCCACAGGGAAAAGATCATGGGTCTCAGTACAAATGGGTCTTATACAATTAGTAAAAAAAACAACACAAATAAACAAAACAAAATTAATTAAATTCCTATTACCGTACGCTACAGAATTATAGAATGGTCCAGCTAACACTTTATTTGTATTATTTAAATCATTACATGTCATCATTCGGCTTCCGAGCCTTTAGTTTCAAACAATTTGGAGCTAGCTCTTTTAATACAATATGATGATGATGATGATGATGATGATGATGATGATGATGATGATGATGATGATGATGATGATGATGATGATGATGATGATGATGATGATGCATCGATGGTGATGATGATTACGACGACGATGCTGATGATGTTGGTGATGATGACAATGATGATGATGGTGATGACGACGATGATAATGATGATGATGGTGATGACGACGATGATAATGATGATGACACCGACGACGACGACGACGACGATGACGATGAAGATGATGACAACGACGACGAAGACGATGATCAACACCCATATCCTCACCTCCGATAAGCCTATGTACCCCACCTCAAAATTATCCTTGTCAAAAACTTAGATGCAAAACATGTGCTTACATGAAAGTGACCAACTTTGTAGAAGGCCCCCACTTTAAAAGAAGACTTTCTCTCCTCATCACCTGCGAAACCAAAAAACGTCATTTACCTCATTTCGTGTAAAGTCTGTCCAGCCGAATATGTTAGTCAAACTACCACCACACTTAGAGCTAGGTATTATAACCATAGGTATTCAGTACAGAAAAACTCATGCACTCCAGTCGGCCAACTCTTCAACAGTCCTGGTCACAATGGGGCCTCTGATCTGCAGCTTCAGGGTTTGAAATAGTTCGAAATCCTACCAAAGAAAAGCTAAACCAAAGAGGATCAATGTGGATTTCTACTTT